GGCCGAACGGTTACCATGCCGGACTGCCACCCAGAGGTCCCAGGTTCGATTCCCGGGCCGGGAGAAATGTTTGTATGGCTTACATTTATTTCTCTCGTGAGTTTGGGTGTAATTTGTGGTTGTCTATGTGTGTGTCCATGGCACCCGCGACACAGGGTTTCCCTAGTGCGGGGCTATGTTGAGTGTGTGCGTTATAAAATAAAAACATATTTAAATACAGGGGCCTTACCATGAACTCTTATTACGATCGTAGTTAGACAGCGCTACATGAAATATATATCACCATCCCGCTTTTTTGTCATTACGAACCTATACGGAACTGTAATGTAATAAGAGTTCGTGGTAAGCCCCTGTTCTGTTTTTATTTTATTTTTTGTATTTTTTTACAAAATTCGTTTTTTTGTTTTTTCTTCCAATTTTGTTTTCTGTTTCTTTATTTTTTTACAAAATTCGAAGAGCACAATATTAGTAAATAAATAAAGGTGTTTACAAAAATAGTTGTCATTGGAGGTATCGACACATAAGCCATTATGCGAGCTATTGTTACACAATATAGCGAAAAGCCGACAAATTTTGACTTAGAACACAGGTTCATTGAAAACAGTCTTGTCAAAACTATCCTTACTAAAACAAAAGTTACCTTACAAACATTAAGAATGCTGTACAACGCACTGGCTGATTCAATAATTGGATACGGGCTCAGTAGTTAGGGTAGAACATACAAAACATACTTAGATAATATTTATAAGGTACAAATAAGGCTACTAAAATCTGTGCCAATATCAGTTAAAAATAAATATAGAAATGATTGTAACAACTTGTTTAGATACTGTAAAATCTTAGACATACATAGTAAAATAAATATATACATAATTTGTGATGAAATAGATAAAATTGACATGTTAAAACAGACGACAAGGATCGGTAAATTGCGTAATCCAAATTATCTACCAAGGTATGTTCATTCTCCATACAATAACAACTATGGAAAGCGTGTCTGGAGATATATGTTACCATTACTGTTTAACAAATTGCCAAGTGACGTTTTTGATAAACTTATAGGTAAACCAAAAAATTGTAAAACGATCCTTAAGTCAATTCATTTATCAAATTGTTAAAGTTATTACTTCTTAAGTGTAAGCTGCGTAAATTATTAGATACGTATAAGTATTGGTCAGTAATTATTTTGAGCATGTGATGGCAGCGATACATAAATCTGTTAATGGTTTTTATTCGCTGTCTTGTGTTCCTTTTTGTAAACTTTTCAATTGTGAATAAAAAAAATAAAAATAAAAAATCAGAAAGTTGCAAATTTTTATTTTACAGCATATTTGCTGAGAAACCTAGCTTTTCTGTACTTTGAATAGTATTAATAGTTCGTCCAGGCAAGTACAGCCACCTTACGTATTTCTACCCCCAAGCAGTAATGTCGACTCATCCGAAGAACAGAGTCCGATGTGACTATATAGCGAAAAGAGAATAAGTACTTTACGAGAACAATTTCGTTATTCAAACTAGGTCCTATGTAAATAAGGTATTTTGAGAATTTATATATCTTACTTCGTTTCGGAAATATAAAATCGAACAAAGGTCGATCTGCATCCACAGCGAAGAAGAACGAACGAAATGTACCATGTCCTGAGAACAAGTAGTCTTACACATAGACCTTTGTTCTACGGATGTGTCGATGTGATCGTTACTGCATTCCGGTTTTGAAGGGTTAAGGGTGCTGGTGATATTACAGGCACATGGAACTTGTCTACTTATGCCTCGTATGTGACGGACGCAGTCGAAATTTGCCATTTACGAGGTTTAAAACTAAAGTGTAACAAAAACGTTATACTAAAAGTTACTATACAGCTTCTGCGTACTTTGATGACAAAAATCCGTGGTTGTGACCCGTTTATCTCCTGCAGGTATTTTCAATGTAAGATGTCTGAAATAAATATTGTAAATGACAAATGTATTCAAATGTATATTTACAAATAACAAACCCTAGAGTTTCTTGCTTATTTTACTCAGCCTTACGAATGAACGACAGAATTTCAAGTGTAATTTTCTTGCCTACAAAAGAAAGATCTTTATGATTTAAAGCTCTGAGTGGCACTGGAACTGTTGTGGCCTGCCACTTGGTAGCAAAAAATATATTTCAAAAATCGGTTGAATTGTAAACCTTTTACGACGTCATCATCATTGATGAAACAGTTACCGCATAATTACAAGGATAACAAACAAGGGTGCTATGCGACAGGTCAATGACATTAAGCTCGCTCAGTGTGACGTCACCTCTCGATGTAATGCCAAGCGGTGAATCAGAACGAATGATAAACAACGTAGGTAATCTGAATTTAGCCCACATACGGGTACTTAGTTATATAGAATCGTACATCCTTTTTACCGAATAAAAAAGCGGTTTCTCGATTCGGTATTATAATAATTTTCGTCATTGAATGATTTGAATTAATTATTATTTATTTATTAAGCATTGGCTACAGAGCCATCTGCTTAAAAGATAACAAATAATTAAGAAACTCAAAATTCTTATAAAAAGGTAACTTATAAATACCGCCATTTGTTTTTCGAATAATTTGAATTAACATAACTTGTCAAAATCAATTTTTATTACAGTAGGCCTTGGAATTCAGCTGCCGCAGCTGCAGCAGCTGGAATTAAACTGCCTCTGTGGCCGAACGGTTACCATGCCGGACTGCCACGCAGAGGTCACAGGTTCGATTCCTGGGCCGGGAGAAATATTTGTATGACCTACATTTGTTTCTCTCGTGAGTTTGGGTGTAAATTGTGCTTGTCTATATGTGTGTCCATGGCACCCGCGACACAAGGTTTCCCTAGTGCGGGGCTATTATTAAAAATCCAAAATCCAATTCAGCATACAGCCAAATTGGAATCTTAAAAATAAAATACAATCTTCATTATTTTTTCGTATTTCAAATTCTTTTAATTTAGCTGTATTATAAAGATTGTCAATTTAATAGTTTATTTCGATAGATAGTACGGTTTATGAAAACACTAGACTGTCAGGTATCTCCTAGAAATATTTTCCCTAGCTTAGTGCAAACGATTTAAGGGCTCACTTAATATAAAAGTCTTATCAAGAGGAAGTTTTAGGAACTGTTGGTGAAAACGGGCATTAGCCTCTCGTAACGGTGAAAGTATAGAAAATGTTTCGTGCCATCATAAATTTTTACTGCTTTGCGTTTAAATAGTAATTGTCGCTAGCAACCAAGGAATACGGATTCCAAATTCCAATAAATCTTGTATGATGTTTTAATCCAATTACTATATAAGCAGGTATAATAATAAAATCATACAACGAACGATAAAAAAAAAATGTAATTTGATTTTTTTTCATATCACCATGGGTGGCGCGATTTAGCATTAAATATATTACATAGGTGTGAGCTTAGAATAATAACGCATATAAAACCTAGTCCGCACACGCTAAGTGAGGCAAATTGAAGCGCGCCAAAAGGGCCTACACGAGCGGGCGGGCCTTCAGTGCTCAAGGGCAACTTGCACCGCGAACAGATCAAGAATTTTAGCTAAAAATGACGAAATGTGCGGTAAATGAGTGTAAAAATACGTCAGACAAACATAAAATAGATACTAACATCACATTCCGCAAGGAAGTAACGCGTTTCAACTCGTATTTTTATATAAATATTCACTAAAACCGAAAATTAACCTACTACTAAAACTAGCCTACATGAATTTGATTTTTGCCTCACTTGTGACAGTTCGTTTGATATGAAACTATCATTCTATGCGTTATTATTCTAAGGGTGTGAGCGATAAGTATATGTATAACCAGGCAGTAATAAATCCTCTTTGTAACGAGAGACTGTGTTCACTTCGCTCCTAGCCCTCACCCTACACTTGTTTGATGACGCAAAATACACTTGAAGTCTCACAAATCAATAAAAAATAAAATACAGTGCCTCTAGCCGGGACTGGTAACTGTAAAGGCATCTGACTGGGTGACGAAGTACTTTCATAGATTTGTCATAGATGGCGCTACGGCTAAAAAGTCGTTGAAAAACCAAAACACAAAGATACGACAACCAGCACATAGAAAAATTCGAGTTGTATTAATAATTAGCTTCACATTGATTAGACTCTATTGCTCATTCGTAAGGCAGATTTCCAAAGAAGAATGAGTAAGAAACTCCAGGGATCGCTATTTGTAAACAAACGTTAGTACACTTGTCATACAAGACAAACTATAAGAGCTAAACGGGTTACCACTATGGACTTTTGTCATCCAAGTACGCAGAACCTTTATAGCAAAATATTCGTTTCACTAATCAAATTCAAATTCAAAATATTTAATTCAGATAGAAATCCATATTGGTTAGTAATACAAAAACAACTTACACACTAATGTTAGTACCTAATAATAATTACAGAGAAGAGTGTTTATTTGCAACATTCGTTTACAAATAAACACTCTTTTTTGGGTAAACATGAAGGCTGGTCCAGCGCTCAAAAAATGAACCCTGGACCCTGCCTGCAATGACGTTCAGAAGGCTGTTACCGCTGCCACGTAATCTGTGCGTTAAGGAGGCCACCCTTTTCCGTAAAATAGCGGGAAACCCATCTACCTGGGCCACGGCGAACATTTCCGAAGCACTACAGAATCGTGGCAGCCGCAACAGCATCCTGAATACATTATTATAAATAACTCACAGGGAGCCAAGTGCTTTCTGGGTGTAGTTGACCCATAGGCCGCAAGTGTAAAAGGTCTGGCAGTAAGCTTTAAACAGAGCTACCTTTACGCTATCCGTACATCTTGCAAACCTACGGGCCAACATATTGCCCCGCACTGCCAGCGCCCTACGCTCTCTCTCTAAATCCGTATTATCTTCTAGGGACTCGGTGACCCAGTGCCCTAGGTACTTAAATTTGATAACCCTTTCGAGAGGAGTACCCCCCAAGTAAACCTCAGGGACGCTATCGTAACATTTGTTACCAGCTCTGAATACCAGTAACTGGCTTTTGATCGCGTTGTACCGAAGGCCGTGGGCCTCAGCGTAGAGTTCACAAACTGATAACAGTTTACGAAGAGCACTTATCGAAGGACTGAGCAACACCATATCGTCCGCATAACTGATGTAATTAACCATCTTTCCATCAACTGAGCATCCGATCATGGTGTTACTCAGTTCAACAATTAGACGGTTCATGTACAGGTTGAAGAGACTCGGTGAACTTAAGCCCCCTTGCCTCACACCGCACTCCAACCTATACATGCCCGAAATTGCACCCGCCCATCGAACATAGTTGTTCTGGTTTCCGTACCAATAACTAAAGATACTAACTATATCACCTGGAAGATCAGTTTCATCCTGTAGCTTACTCCACAACCTGTCATATGATACAAGATCAAAAAAATACTACTACTACTATGGAATAGAATAGAATAGAATCATTTATTTCATATTATAAATTTTATAATATTACAATTCGAAATATAATGTCAAGGGATAACATGATCGCCATTAATGTAAACAATAATAATATAAAATAAAATAATTGAAAGAAAAATACAAACTACAAAATATACAAATAAAAATTAAATATTTTCAAAATACAAATGTCCAGAATTAAAATATAATTACAATTACATTATAGTTTTAAACCTCGTAAATGATAAATTTCGAATCTTATTGTAGAAGTGTATACATTGCCCCTTAAAATAAATTTGAGAACTGTTAGGAAAAACTATTGTTTTTATTTCTCGTATTAATAGAAATAGAAAACGTTTATTTGCCACAATACATCTAAAATAAAAATAGGTACAATGTATTCAACCTGCAAGCACATGTGCAAATATTAATTGAATTAAATAATTTGGCCTCTAAAATAATTGCATTTCAAATTAATATAAATTAGTATTTGTAAATTATAAATATTCTTTATTAAGTACTATAGAACCAATGTGTCATAAGCCATTTTGTCAATTGTGATTTAAACGTAGGTCCGTGTAGTAATTTCAATTCAATTGGTAAACTATTGAAGATCTTTATGCACATATTGAAGCAGTTATTCTTATAAATTAATTTATGGTATCGAGGTTGGTACAAAAGATTCATGATCTTAACTGGTTTGCCTTTGTATAACATCAACACGCGTTTTACAATACAGGGAATGAGTTTTTACAAACACAATGTTATGTTTACTGCATTTCATAAAAAAACTAGTATTCATGACATGCATTTATTACACGCAAAATAAGCGCCTTGACGTCGAGTTGCGGACACTAGCCCGTTACACCAAGTACCAAGTATGACGCTAGCGTTAGGATGTTGATATCTTTAAACTTCTTTCTTGAAGGTACTCTGAAGCCCAGATTGGAAATTGCTCCGGTCGCTTGCCACCATACGCGCAACTAAAGTGCGGTCGCCGAGAGAATGCATTTCTGACGACTCATGACCCAATGGCCGATGTAACTTTGAAGTGGCCAACGATTTACGATATTTTTTTAATACTTAATATAGACGGTTACAAAATTGAATTAGAATTCGTATTATAACGTTAACCCACCATAAACTAAAATAGTTTGCCCACAATTTCATCTTTAACATAAACACTATAATAAAAATAATATTTAGAAATCCGCACTACCCAGTTTCAACCGTTTCTTTTTATAGTGATGTGGTAAACATAACTCGTTATACTATTACGTGACGCGTAAAAGAACGGTTTGAAAGTAATTGTAATTTGTTTAGTCACCCTAATCCTGGGTAACTTTTTTCAAAATTACAAATTACGCGAATGTATTGTGCCATCAAAATAGAAAAAAGCATATCATACGACTTTTATGCAACACAGAAATGTTACATTTGTTAGTCAGGTACATACATCGAGTATATAACCAGAAATAAGGGCCATCCATCCGTAGCAACTCTTCAGCCAAATTGGGCTTATATCACTTTTAAATTTTAACTTTCGTTTGCACTGAAATCACAAATTAGAAAGCTGAAATAATACAACGTCAACAACTGACCTGTGTGTACGTCTCCGTATATTCCAAAAAATACTATGTATTTATTGTAATAAAGATAATATTTCTAACAATGCCGTGCTGTTCGATTCGGTGGTTTGTGAAAAACTGCAAATCTAATTACATTAACGGAATCACATTTCATCGGTAATTAAATATTAAATATGTAATTTGCAACTTTCGTCCATTATAGCAAAGCTCAAGTTAACTGGTCGATTTGAAGTGAAACAGTTGACGACACCCGTCAATTGTTTCGAACACGGGCTAGCCAATCGGCGAGCAGTTGTCACAGTAATGATATGGCAGAATAGTTTTCAAACAAATTAAATGACATTTCGTCTCTATTTCTGGTTATATACTCGATGTTTCGAAAACTTCTAACCGTTCACATAAATAAATTCGTCGCCTAAGCCGAAATCGGCTGGGAGCACATGCATGGAATAAAGCTTTTCCTGATCAGTATAATGCGATAGGAATGGTAACTAACTAAAAAATACTCTGATTAGAGAAGACATGTGCCTAGAAGTGAGATGTGGATATGAGTTGATAAAGATAGAGGCGGGACACGCAGTGAATCACTGATTAACCAACTGGGACAAAGTCGTAAATTTGATTGTCAGTGCGGCGTTTGTGTGGGGTCTTAAATAAACACGTGGCATTACGTTAGTTTGTTGACAGTAAAGGTGGTTTTCGACCGGCGAGGCGAGACGAGTATTGAAATTTGTACTACAAAATTTCTTCTACATCTTCGGTGGAAGTGGTCTGGATTGACGAGGACGGGCGAGGCGAGAATTGAAATATTTGTTGATGTAATATTGAACCGCATCGCTGCCTATATAGTCTCGCGAGGGCTATTAAGTTTACCGAGAGATTGAGGGTAGGTACCACATATAATAATAATTTACGGGCCATGTTACTTCTTCAGCCGCGTATTTATCGCTAGATGAACTGAACACATCACTGAATCTTTTTACTTTTATTTATTTATTGAAGTTCATCGGCAATTGTTATATCGATACGTGTACGTTTTACATTTGTAATGGTGTTTAGCTAGATGCACAACTATTTAAAGATGAAACAGAGTTTGCATTAAATTGAGCAGAATAGTCTTAATATTACAATGTATTATACAAAGAAGAAATAACAAACTGAATATAACGATAAAATATGGCAATCAGAACAAAAAAAATACATCTTAAATGTAAGGTTTAGTGTAATATAATTTTTTGGAATTAGTGCTAAGAATACTGCTAGTTGACTTGCTAAGGATTGCCTTGCGGAGACCGGTCATTGAGGCCGTGACAATATCTACTGATATACTATACTCATCGTGTAGTCTGGACACACGGCAGACCGGGGAGTTGAGACCCAATTTAGTTCTCCTGTGTGGTGGTGACACAAGAGCAACTATCTTTTTACGGGGGTCTCGATGGGGAACGCTTAGTTTGAATATTGAATATTTTACATCCTCAATAAAAATTTTTAATCTCATTTTATAAGAGTGTATTTTTTTGGCTGCACCGGCCGCGAAAGTCTTCACTATACACAATGACAGCGCGAACTCGCGATGGCTCGAGCGAGCTATTAATGGCAATTTTTGGTGGAAATAGGCCGGCGAGATTTCAATTCTCGACTCTCTGTGTCTCGTCTCGCCTCGCCGGTGAAAAATCACCTTAAAACTTCTACGGTTTAATTTGACAATAGAGTAATTTCGACGATTAAGATGTCTTTTTAACCCCTTATTCACCAAGAGGGGAGTTAAGTTTGAAGCCTTAGCATATCTGAGTGTCTTTCCTGTGGCATCTTAGCTACCAAACAAATAAATTGATCTCAAAGCGCTATATTTTTCTAATTTGAAGGCTTTCATTGGGCTGGTTCTTGGCTATGTTTGATGAACATCTACTCAGCTATTTAAACATAATCAGCTCATTTAGTAGCAGTATGGCAGTAGTATCCTTGCGAAAGAGTTCGTCCAGGGAAGTACCCACCCATCTTAACTATTTCTGCCGCCAAGCAGTAATAATGTGAGCATTACTGTGTTCCGGTTTTGAAGGGTGCTGGTGAAATTACAGGCAAATGGGACTTGTCAGTCTCAAGGTGCCTCTGAGCGATCTATTGTATTTTAATTTTTGTTCGAAGGTAAAAATATGATGATTTTTAAAAGTCATAGAAAGTTAGTAATATAGTGCTGCGAGGTGGTTAGCACTATACAAATAATCCTGTATAGGTTGATATAGTTACCCTACATCAAAAAATAATGAGTGCATGTTGTAAACATTTGGTTCATTGTCCTTTAAACAATGGGGAACATTATTTTTAAACCGCTCTCTATGTGGGAGTGTGTGATTGTAATTTTTCGAACACTTTATTAGTACTGTCCTCGATATTTTTTTTAAGTAACTCTTCAGTCAACGACCGCGATCATCAAGTGGTTAAGCACTATGGGCGTTTGATGAACAGCTCCCGGGCCCCGAAGAACCAATTTGGAAAATGAATTTTTCTATGGTCCGTCTGATTTGAAGACGGAGTAAAATGACATTTGCAGGGTTGCAGTTTTTATCAAATTTGAAATAGTAATGTAGTTGTTGTCGATAGTTTTATCGATAGATTGTGAAAGATTGTCCAAAAAATTGAAAAGAGATTGTCCAAGTCCACTGCCCAAAACACCCGTTTTGGACAGCCTGTTTTGGACAGTGGACTTGGGAGTTAATTTCGTTCCTCTGGTACTTATGCTACAGGTTAATTCCCACACCAATTGCTTCGAGACCAGGGATCTGAAATGTTGGCTAGCACATTATTATTCATACTACACAGCGAAATTGTTTAATACATTCTAGTAGAGTTCGAAGTGATAATTATCGTTGACAAATTATCAAAATTTTATAAA